ACCGAAAGCTGCTGTGGACATGCACTTCGTCTCGAACTGCACATCGCTGACCAAGAAAAAAGGCGGGAATACCTGCGAACTACCTGGCTTTCTGAAGTTTTATGCCTCGGGCCCAAAAAGAACATCTAGTTACTTACAGTCACTCTAGTCACTATAGGCTTATGATGTCTGATGGACCTGCTTTGTTCGTTTAGCGTGGGAACACCGCCAGTAATGATATGCCAAGACGCGGTGATGGCTTCCAGGCCCCTCTGCAGTTCCTCACTGCCCAGGTCGCAGTCGATCTCAGCCGCGCCAATGGTGATCTTTGGGGGTCAAGCCCAGCTGTTTACACATATCTTAGTATGCATATGGTTTTAAATATCTTTAAGTGAGGTTTTGGCTCTCAACTTGTTGAACTTATACTTGGATTTTGAATGTTTAAATTTAAACGATCTAAAAATATCTAAAAATAGTCTATAAACATGCCACCAAAACCATACTGGACCATACTGCACATGTAATTTCCACGCCACAACAAGATCATGAAAGGTGTGCTGCTGCTGAATTTTGCACGCCGTAGTCACCAAAGTCGAGTGACGCTGTGGAAGACATCCCTGGTGCCCAGCGCTATGAATCCTGCAACAGGCCTTACCAAAGGTACTTGGATGGCCACTCATCATGTTCGTGGGAATTCATCGGACCCCCTTTCCCATACCACTCCCATACTACTCCCATACTACACTGCAAAAAAAAAAAACTACTTTTTCTGGGAAGTTTGTGGGAATGAAGGTCCCATCAAAACACCCAGCTATTCACATCCAGGGCCCTGGACCAAGTAGCTCCCCAGGCACGAGCTCAAGCCTTGGACCCGTTGATTGATTCGTGTCATTTTATAGGCTCACCTTACAAAATACAAGAATATAAAATATATTAAAATATTAGTTGTTCATCTCAAGATATGATTGTCCAGTAGACATTGTCTATTTGCATATTATACATATGCATATACATATACAAACAGTCTATAATAACTCCACGATTAACATGCATCTTCCATTCCGGGTGTCCGGGCGATTGACCAGCTCCCTACGCTCATCCTCACGCACCTCCCAGGGACGGGGCATTTCGTATACGAATGACCATAGGACCATAGCGGGATGACCAGATATAACCTTTTCATAGTTACATGACTGATAACCGTACTGCCATATAAAAGGTATACTGATAAATATCTATATAACTTTATATAATATATATATAGCTATTAACATCCATTAACTAGTACTAGAAGTTATATTAGTTATATGAATTTATATGATGTTACGAGTATATTCTGCGAATGCCAGATCCAATGGGCAAATGGGATAAAATGGATATATGTTGGATCTATAATAAAAATCTACCAGCCACAATGGCATGTAAATATGGAATGATAGGGATACATGTGCCGTGGTCATCCCACCTGTCATGGATGGGTATAGCAAAAACCCTTATGATTTCATGGGGGAACTGGGGGAATGCCCATCCGCAAACTTGGAGGAAAATGGCGGCTATACACTGCAAGATCTACAAGGAACTTTCGCCAACGCTTACGCGACGCCTACGCGGGATGGGTCTTACTGCGAAGGGTGCCTTTGCGCTTATTGCGTTCTTTCAAAAAAGCCTTCGTGCTTGCCTTCGCGCAAGTTTTTGGCAGGCATTAGTTGTGCGGCTGTTGTTGGAACCTTTGGTTCATTTCCTGTCAGAAGCTGACAAAGCAGAAGTAGACGACGAGAAAAATAAAGAATTTGATATTGCATCAGAGCAGCAGAAAGGCACCAAACCGCTAGTTAGTGTTTCATGGTGATTTTCTGCCTTCGCGGGGCCTTCGTGGAGCCTTTGCGAGGCGAAGCCTCGAAATTGCAAAAAAGACGTATAGGCTTCACACTCCCGAAGGTAATGATAGAAAATGATGGAAATCTGACACTGACCTATTGAAGAACTTCGGCACCTGAATATGAATCGCAGGTTTGAGTTGCACTGCACATGTACGCCCTATGAAAGTAGATGCCAGTTCCGAGTTGCTATGGAAAAAACTCATGGTCACATGATGTCACATGGTCTTTTATATATTGGTTACAGTTGAAGTTGTCAAACATGTGGAAAGACATCTGCATCACATAGCCTACGCGAAGAGCCTTCGCAAAAAATATATATACCCTGTTATTTAACATAGCCATGGAAAATGGCACATTTATAGATGATTTTACCATGAAAACCTCCATTTATAAGGGATTTTCCATGGCTATGTTAAATAACCAGATGGCAATAGCTTATTCATAGCTTCCTACGCTTGTGGCTTCGCGCTCAAATGGGGACATGTCATCGTCAGCGGGTTTTTTCCTGGTGATCTAACCAATTCCCTGGAGCCTGTTGGTGCCTGCAAGGGGGCCCCCCCACCAAAACATGGAGTTTGGTCATGTTTATTCCGATTTATTCCACTAACCATACAAGGTGGTGCCCCCCAGTTATGAGTTGGTTTATAAACCATAGCAACTATAGATAGATAGATAGATAGATAGATAGATAGACAGATAGATAGATATATATATATATATCTCTACCATATTAGAGTTGATCAACCAACTTAGCTAACTATGGGGCACCATCTTGATAGGTAGATCTTCCATCAACATCGACAAGCCCCACCTGCAGCTGTTGCCGCAAGGTATGGAGCTCTTGAGTTTGAAGCCTTGCGACAGGACCGGTGTGTGTAAAATCCATGGGTTTCATGAGGTTCATGAAACCACCATATGGGATGATTTGCCATGATTCAACATGGAAAATGCATGGGTTTCAAATGGGACATTTCGACATTTCGAGGTTTCAACAGTCACTGGGCCGCTGATCCCAGGAATCCCATGGAATCCGGCCTACATTGCGCGCAGGCTGCATCCTTGGTAGGACAACCGAATTTGGTCCGAATCCACTCATCTTGGCATACTTTTTTCCAGGCCCAGTAAAACAAACAGCTTGGAAGGTGATGCTTTTCGTTAGTAGTTCTAGATAAGTTCCACAGGTGGGAGACTCCCAATGCACAGCTAGGTTACAAGTTTCTTATAATTTCAACTACTGAACTGCCAAGCTAATTAGTGAAAATAAGCTGACTCGCGTCCTAGCTAAGTCCAAATATTGGTTGGTTTCAACATACAGCTGTTTGTGCAAGAAAATCCTCATGTTACCAAGGAGGATCCTCCGAGCATCGCAAACTTGGATCATGGTTTATCCCATCTATGGCTTCTGACCGTACAGGACAACTGACCAATTACTAAGGAGAAGGGTCCTATAAAAACCCATCATGGCCTATAAGAACCCTGATAGTTGGTTAACCTCAAATGTTGGTGGTGAAACCATCATTTTGTATGGTTAAGCCAACATTAAGCACAGAATTTCTTGGTGAAAGCACCATGTTTGATGGTTAACCCTGGAATTTCTTGGTTAAAGCACCATGTTATCATTTTTTTCATACTTTTGATAGTTGAAGGTTAACCATGGTTAACCCTAGAATTTCCTGGTCAAAGTTTCATTTTGATGGTTAAAACGTATTTCTCCCAGCTTCCCCGGATTTTCTCTGTGTTCCCCCAGCTCGCTCCGATCGCAACTCCGCTGTCTCCTGCTTCAAGGACTCCAGTTCCCGCGCCTCGGGACAGCTCTGGGACAATTATTTGGAGATCAATATCTATCCCAATCTAACTAACTATCTGTATCTATTTATCTATATTTATCTATTTTTCTATTAACTAAATATCTATAGATGACTAAAATTATATACTAAGTAACTAACTATAATTATAGATGATGTCCCAATCATTACTGGTTGGTGGTTTCAACCCCTCTGAAAAATATGAAAGTCAATGGGAAGGATTACCCACATATGATGGAAAATAAGAAATGTTTGAAACCACCAACCAGATTAACTAAAATTAATTACTATCTATCTATCTATATATCTATTTATATGTTTAGTATTTAGTTCAAAAAGTTTGTTAGTATGTAATCATGTTGGGTCTAGTATCTATTTAGTTACTTTGGAAAACACATCCAACATCATCTAACAATATGTGTGTTTTTTTTTCCGGCCATGGTCGCTAAAGCGTCCGTGGGCCGGCACTGCGACAGCTTAAAATTGTTGTGCGAGAGCCATTTGGTGGATTTGCCTGTTTTGCTCGTCCGTTCGTTAACAATATGTGTTAGTTGCTTAGTATTTATTGATTTATATAGTCAGTTAGTTGGTTAGTTGGTCAGTTGTGGGAAATCATGTGTATGTTTATCTATGTTCATTTGCATTGTATCTATTTTCCGCTACTATCCATCTATCTATTATATACGTTGTCTATACCTTTATTCAAAAAAATATACAGTGACTGGTAATTGTTCCATATTCAAACCAAGGCTTCTCACAGAGCGTCATCAAATCATATCAAATCAAGTAATTCCTTCACAGGAATTGTGGAATAATTCCTACATTGGGATCAAGTTTGTTCATTCGGATTTTGTTCCTGAACTTTGGGATGGTTCCCCCAATCCTAAGCATCAATATACCATCAATTAATTATAGCGAGGTCGGCCGCTTCCCTAGCCTATCTGCAGTGAATTCCATGGCTCACCATGGAACTATTTTGGAAGCCCTGTGAACGTCCGTGAGCATGTCCAGCTAATCATCTTAGGCCTGAGACAGATAGTCCAACAATCAAGAGATATCAAGAGAAATTCAATGTATGCATAAATAATATATATATATATATTTATATATACGTATAGTGATTGGATCTGGACTTTACTGGGACAACTTCTTGAATCTTCCCGAACTTAGACAATTGAGCAGTGTTCAAAACCCTTTGTCTTTTCATTATTCTCGTTGGTTTATTGGTTAGTATAATCCACTATAATCCACTAATATTCACTATAACGATCAACCAAGAAGAGTTTTGAACACTGCTCAACTGCCCCTCTGCGTTTCCTCATCATATATAGGCGCCTTTTCGGAAGAGACACAGCTCAGCGGCTCAGCACCAGCCGTGCGGCTGGTGCGCAGTTGATAAAGAGCTCGGCACAGCTGGGCAAGCTGATCAACATGGGAAAATCACAGGTGAAAACGACTTCAAATTCTAAAGCGCTGGTTTCATTGCAACACTTTTTTATCATACAACAGTCCATATATGAATGTCTGGAGAATCACTCCTCGCCACAGAGTCCCAAAAAAAGATCGACGGTTCTGGGATACCTCCGGGGTCCCTCAGATGGTGTGGCCCTGGAAGCTCCAATCGTCGCATTTGGATTCCTCCAACATCTTCCAGAAGGTGCTCTCCCACTCACCAGTCTCCTGCGGAACGATAGGAAGGACGTAAGATCAAGGAAGTACAAATGACTGCGTATGACTGCATATGACTTGTTCTCTGGGGGAGTTAGACACATAGGGAAATGCATGCAACTCCAGATTGTACTCCAGAATGCTCCAGAAACCTTGTTCAGCAAAGGATTGATGACTTGTTTGCTGACTTGGCGTTGCTGTGAAGCAGCTTCTGGTTGCCAAAGGTCCTCGTTCTTCTCCTTAATCCACAGGGCCACCTGGCCAAAGGTGAGACTTATGAGATGGGGGTGCCCAATTCTCCAGGAATACTTACAAAAACGATCAAAAACGCGGTATTTTTAATGGCAAACGAGTTGCTTAGTTGCTCACTTTCTAAAAAAACAACCGCCATGAGTTTATGACCCAGCCAAAGAATCCAAAGACTCAGCATTCGCATTAGCATTGCATACCCCAGCTCAGTGCCTGCATCATACGTCGCGGAATGTCCCAGTCGCTCCACAGAGACTCCACCGTCTCATCGTCGTCGCGGGGGCGGGAGGTCTTGTTGAACAAGGGGCCCCAGGCGTCCTTGTCCTGCAGGATGCTTCGGGGGAATCCCCAACCCATAGGTTTCCATTCATTAAAAATGATTGAATTTGAGTGATTTGGGGATCCAAAAAGATCCAAAAAGAAACACCATGATGAACCTCTCCTGAAATCAACAGCCGGCATGATTTTGGCCGGTGCTCAATGAACATCAATCGACCATTTCACTAAACAGCCCGTCTGCATAAGTCCTTCAAATCAGTCATATCAATCGGCCCCAGCTATTTAAGTTCAAACCGTTTTCAACGGAAAGGCACAAGGATTTTTTACAGGAAATACCTATATTTCATGGGAAAACGCATAGTTTCCTCTAGATTTTCACTTAAGCGAATCCATCGACGCTTCGGAAAATCAGTCGTTGGAAAAATGAGGTGGTGAGCTGGGCAGGAAGAAGGAGAACTTATACAAAACGAGACTGCATCATCGGCACAGACGCTACACACAATAATTTCAATATGTTGCAACAACCGCAAAAAATAAATAGTTGAAAACCTGGAGATATGAGATAAAATGATACATTGGGGTATTATATTATTAATATGTGTGTGTGTGTGTAAATCTAATTTATATTCACTTATAGCCCTCGGCCCAAGTCTTTCCAGTAGTGGGGCCGATTACGACAGATGCTTGGGAGATCGTTTCAACATGGCGTGGTTTCATTTCCTTGTTTGCTCCGTCCTTGCCTATCCTTGGACATGACTTCGGATGCTGTGCATCGCCTGATGCTACCAAGCCAGAGAACATTGCAGATCATGGCTGCCGTTGATCTTCCACAGGATGAGGGCACCAACAAGATTGCTCCACGAGCACCATGTGGCCTTACTATCCACTGCATGGTCTTCAATGTCTTCGTTCATCTCTGTCTTTGGACTGGACGCGACGTGCATCTTCCAGGTGGGGAGCCTAGCTGTCCTGACCAATGCGCCATCATCACACGCATGGTTTTGCAACAGCCCAATGGCCAACATGGAGCGCCTAGCTTAGTGGCATGGATGATCTTTGTTGCGGATATTTTTCTGGAACTTTTTTCTGGCACTATCTCCATTGCTGCCAGCTTCGTGGATGGCCCAGTCTGCGCAACAGATGTACAACAGAGTGCACCCTTGTGGCTGTGGCATTCATTCGCTTCCTGCCGATGGGTTTCCTTCGTGCACGGCCAGCCCGGCAGACAGCGCTTGCTAGCTGTTTGGGCTAAACATTGTACGGGGCAGGCAGCACCTATATGCTCCTACAGGCTTCATGGTCGGCTGGAGGAAGAACAAGCACATGGCTGGTGTGATTTAGTTCTGATTAGGTTGGCGGCTCAACCTTTACAACTTTGTTGGCTACTGCCTTTCACTGCGCAACGTTTAGGGAGGCCAGACCTTTTGTTCCATGAGCCCACCGGCACAATATAGACAAGTCTGAAATCAGGATGTTGCCCACGCACGGCTTGAGCCACTCGGGGCACACTGCACATTGGTGTGCTTTTCCCGTTGTGTTGCAATATCTCCGATGCACTTCGCTGGCACCAGTCTAGCATCAGATTTGCATCAACTTGCAACGTTTTGATTTTCAAGCGGCCGTCTGAGCACACAGTCTCACGCTGCTTCATGTCCAGTCAAATGTAGATAATGATTGCCCACAGTTTGCTTATTCATGGGTGGCAGCCGAGGGCGAACTCTTTCGGTTGCCAGTGAGGTGAGTGGTTCGCAAGTTGTTTGGAAGGCCGCATCAGTCGGCGTGAACCGTGTTGCGCCGCACTGCTACCGCCGTGCGTGCATCACGTAGAAGTAGTCCGAGCTATATTCACTTATACCATCCCGGAAACGCTGAAATCTTTTTTTTTGGGATTAATTACTATATGAATATGAATAAGCTCATGCATTTCACGGCCACAGAGACATGAGGTCCTTGCAAACCAACTCAATCTGCTCCAGCGAGTACTCTGGTTTCCATTCCTGACGCCAATCTGTGTGCTTCATGCCTGGTTGCCGTTTGCAATCTAACCACCACCAAAAGAAACTTTTGGCTAAGCTCATCCAAAATCATCCACAAACAGGACTTCTTAGAACATAATAGAAAGTCTGGCCAGAAGTAGATAACATTGAAAGCCAAACCTGCAACTCCTAGATACTGGTAACCTGGTAACCAATCCCACCCATCTCAGGCTTCTGATGGCTTCAAGCTGATTGTTTCAAGATGTTCCGGGATCTTCCACCCCGCTGGTAGCAGCTCCTGAACCTTCTGCCGGATCTCCCCCACCGTGGTCTCCGCGGTGACCGGCACCGCAAACATCCCAAGGGTCGTCAGGACCTTCACTTCCGGCACGTGGTCCTGGGGACCGAGGTAACCGAAGTTCGGAAATCCGAGACATCCGAGTCTTGGGACGCTGGTGACCCAACCCGTGATGTGAAGCACCAAAGAATGAAGATGTTTGGAGACTTGAGATATCTTGAGATCCTTTTTGATGGGCTTCAGAGCCCAAAAGAAACGAAAGGATAAAGATGATGTACTCATCAAAAGAATTAAGAATACGATTATACGACCCATAAAAAACAAAAAACAACGCATGTATTGGAAAATGTCGGTGGTGAGAAGCTTGCACCAAACCATTTCCAGGGCCAAACTGGCAGGTCCTGATCGCGTTCGGCGATCTCTGCTGCACCCTTCTTGATCAAACCACCCTTCTCATCCCAAATCTCACGGTCAGGCGCCGTGTTCTCAGTGAAGATGACTTCCTGCGTTGAAAATTCACGGGTGCCACCAGCCAACAGGTGTGAACAGGTGTGTCAACTTGGAAAAATTCAAGCATCTTCGGGGACTATGTCGGGGACTATGTCTGTTTCCTGGATACCCTTCAGGTGCTCAATTTCTCGAAGTTATCAGGCCCCGCTCTGCCGCTCCTGTCCCTCTTCCTCAGCCATGATGCAGGGCTTGGATCTTCCTATTTGCCACGGTTGAGCCGAGCTGAAACACTGCAGTTTGGTGATGTTCCATTTCCTTGTTTTTGAATTCCAAAGTGTCTTCCTTACTCTCTCTCTCTCTCTCTCTGTCTCTGTCTCTATCTCTGGGTTTCAATGGTGATTTACTTTACCTGTTCATATTTTTCTACATGGTTCTACCTGTTTGGGGGGCTCACTGAATGAAGCCCAGTGAGAAAGTTGCCAACAGGATCCCGGATCACCCTTCCATCAACCTGCAGCGCAGGGACCTATTTGTTTGGGGGTACTAATTGTAATTGGTGCCATATGTTCTCCAAAGGTCGACACTTATCATCAAATCATCATCATTTGAATCAAATCCCTCTTGTGAAGGTAAACACCCCATCCAAAAGTCGCCCTTTGCCATCCTCCTCATTCTTTTCTTGAGAACCGCAGGGGCATGGAAACCATCCGCGCGTTCAGCGCTTGCGATGGAAGAGTGGGCTTGGCTGCAAAGGGCTGGGTGGTCACCCCACATGGGAAATGTCAGAAGAAAAGTTGGAGATGGTAATTATAGGCCAACAATGATACATCAGTTTGAACAAATATGGTAATCTGATACGTAAATCCAACAAACAATGATGGAAATTATGAAATGACAATCATCAACAGCTGTTTTCAGCCCTTGACCACCACGCTACTTTGCATCAGGTGCGATGCCATCGGTCCGGCGTCCGTTAACCCTCAAATGGTGTGGCCCTGGAAGCTCCAATCGTCGCATTTGGATTCCTCCAACATCTTCCAGAAGGTGCTCTCCCACTCACCGGTCTCCTGGAGCACGGGATGGGGATGGGAAGACCTGGTAAGAGCTGTTGGACCTGGGAATTTCTATGGACCTGGGCTGAGATGGTGGTTGTGAGGATGCAGAGATGTGAAGGTCAAGAGTCGTTCCTTTTGGCCACGGATGGCCACGGTGAGAAATCGATCCCTTTGAACAAATACAAACTACAGTACAAGATTTCGGACAAGATTACAAGCGTTTACAAATGTGTACAGCTGCGCTCAAATCGTGAGCAAAGCGACAAGGACCAAAACCAGCCTGCTGTTCTTTTCAGGTGTCCAAATTGTGCTGTCCATTGTTCTTCAATTTTCAGTTCAGCATCGGAATATGTTCCATTATGTTCCATTCATATATATTGGTTCATGAACAATCAATTCGTCCATACTACCTGCGTTTATAGCTCAAACATCTCAACATTTAGTCTATCTACCATTTCCCCCAGGTCCCCATGGGTGGAATTCCGGGCCCTATGCAACCCAGCTCCTCATTCTTCTCCTTGATCCACAGGGCCACCTGCGTGAGGGGATCACATGGGATCACCACAGCTTCCACAACAACCCCGAGCAGCTCGCCGAGCATCCCGAGCCATCGGCCTGCATCATACGTCGCGGAATGTCCCAGTCGCTCCACAGAGACTCCACCGTCTCATCGTCGTCGCGGGGGCGGGAGGTCTTGTTGAACAAGGGGCCCCAGGCGTCCTTGTCCTACAGGACGGAACGGAAGGGGAGACATGTGGAGATATGTCCTGTCGACGGAAAGCAATGAAGCAAGAACATCCCCCAGGACTGCTGAATTTCAGAGAGCAGGTGATGGTCCAATGGTTGAATTCTACTTGAGAAGGACTCTTGGTCAGCGACCGCATGAGCGTGATGAAGACTTGTCGCCTGCCCTGATGACATAAGACCGATTCACACTTTCTACTGGAGCTACTTGCCTGAATCATCACCATGGTAAACTAGCTAGTAACTATGCCTACATTTCGAAGATATTCGAAGATCATAACTTGTATAATCGAATGATCTTCAGGCCAACTTGTAAGTACATGTCGGCAATGTCGCAAACACATGGTAGATTTGAGGAGCACCAGTTACTTGGGGAATCTCCTCACACACACACACACACGCACACACACACGCACACACACACGCACACAGCCAGTGGATTCCTTGCAGACCAGCTCGATCTGTTCCAGCGAATATTCGGGCTTCCACTCCTGGCAAATTGGGGGTAACCCCCCTGATTCAACAAAAAGGATGTGTTATTCCTTGCTTGGCACTACATGTTAATCTGTTAAGATGATGGGAAATCAATAAAGATTCCAGCCCACCAGAACAAAATCAACCACATCGATCTAATGTCAAGTGCAGGTCCAGGAATCGTTGCAACAACATGAAACAACCATAAATATCAAAAATAACCTTGTCTGTCTGTTCATGTCTGAGTTTATATGCAATTCGGTCCAGCATCTATCAATATCTTCCATTTTGATCCTGTATCCTATACCTTCTGGTAATCGAACATACCTATGTGCAAAATGGCCCATCTATGGATGATTTTCCTATTAAAAGCGGATTATATTCCATAGCTATCTTGAATCACAGAGGGTAAACCCATGTAAATCCTATGATATCCTCGTTCTCTCCCTATAAATCTCTGTCCTTGCTTCAACCGTTAAACGCCCCCCATGTTTGCCAGTCAAATTCCTATGTTTCCATCACCTCATGGCCCCAGCAGCTCCTGAACCTTCTGCCGGATCTCCCCCACTGTGGTCTCCGCCGTCACCGGCACCGCGAACATCCCAAGGGTCGTCAGGACCTTCACTTCCGGCACGTGGTCCTGGAGCGGCCGGCGAGGCGGGTACCTGTAGATATATAGACTTGATTAGTATATCATATGTACATCATATGTAATTATATTATATATATATATATAATATAATATATAGTAAGATAGATTGATTGATTTCTATCTCTATCTCTCTCTCTCTCTCAAATATAAGGGTTCCTTTAAACAAACTTGACAGTATCTATTTATTCATCTATGTCATTTAGAAACATCTAGTAGTATCTTAATCAAATCAGGAATGGTTGACAACTCCTCGGAGCCCGGCATCATATCGACCCAGTCCTGATCGCGTTCGGCAATCTCCGCCGCGCCCTTCTTGATCAAACCACCCTGGAGGGCCATGATCAACGTCGAAGGGCCCCGTGGCCCCAAGGCCATCCGGCGAACAGAATGGTACCCTCTGTAAACATACAAAAAGCTATTGAAAATGGCCATTTATAGTGGACTTACCCATTATATGAAAATGGTGATTTTTCCATATAGTTGTTAGTTTACCAGAGGGTATATAAAATTCCATGGTTTTCTGAAAAAAAGAGATCTACATTGATCTTCAAATGCTGGCTTTTCCGCATATATATATATATATACATTATATAAATAGCAGTAACTAGATGTAACTAGTACCAGTATGTTCATTTACTGGACTGTATAAATAATTGTATATTGTATCATGCTCTATTCTAGTTAAATATTGACCCAACATTTGACTTGGATTGCACTGAAACCCTGCCTTCTCATCCCAAATCTCGCGGTCCGGCGCAGTGTTCTCAGTGAAGATGACTTCCTTGCGCCAGCGATTCCCACATCGAAAACCAGGATGAACACTGAATCAATGGATTGGTTTAAGGGACATTTTACGGGAACCCCCTATATTTGATGGCAAAAACATGATTTCCGGTTAAGATGTTCCCTTTCTCTTTGCCATTGACTGAACCAACCAGAGGGATTTGGTGTTGCTTATATGAAAGAAACGATAATGCTGGATGACATTGAAAAGTTATGTCCGAATGTGGGTGCATCAGCCCTAACCAATTCCTGATATCCTGGTCTCGCAGAAAAAACTGTCCTGTCCCTCTTCCTCAGCCATCTCTACTCACAAAATGTCGCTTGAGACGTGTCTGCTTGAGCCGACCCTGGCGGTTGAACACCCTGAAGCAACCAAAGGTAACAAGCAGGCCATCGATTTCATGCAGAACCCCTTCCATCCAAATCAAGGATTGAAAAATATCATCCGACCCCTCTCAAAATATCCACACTCATATCAACAATATTCAAACATATCCATTGACATATTCAAAAGAGCAATCAATTGATATTAATGTAATTCATGCATAATTAATGTATATCATATCTATATTATATAATGATATATGTTGAATAAGGCAACCATAAAAAGCTAGAAAAGTACAGAAAAGTAACATTGTTTAGCACGTTCCTACGGAAATTGGGAGAATATAAACGTATATAAACAATGTTCCCGGACTGTTTTTATGCTGGTTCTGTGATTTTTCTATCACTTTTGGGGTGGTCACGAAAAAAATCCCTCAATGTTTCCTCCCCGCTGAGGCACCCAGACGCAAGGCCTTGGGCAGCATTGATATTTCTATGTTTAGAAGATTTACAAGGATACAACATGAGACAACGTATATTAATATACATAATGGGGCATTGTAGATTTGTTTATCGGATTTATCCTCTGGTCAACTGGTCATTCAACAGAATGCCACGGAAAATCCTCATTTTCCAGAATCATCTATAAATGGGCCATTTATAACCATTTACCATAGCTATGTTTGAAAAAAATGATGGAATGTATTACTATTTTGACTGGGAATATCACGGATGTGTTCATGGAACATCTGGGTAAACCACAAAATCGTTGGATTGCCGGCCGCAAAATCTTCCCCTGGTCTGGTGCACTTTTCCCTGCAGTTCCAGGACCAAACAGATAGAATATTTGGAAACCTGGGGTTGCCTATGAATATCTATATGAATATCTATGACATCCTGGAAAAACTGGAAACAGTTTCCCGGAAACACCTTTCTATCTTTGGGAGCATCCCTAAAATCCATCCTTAAAAATGATCAGCGATTTGGGATCAGCATCCCAAATACAGTTGTAAAAAACCGTTCGAACATACTTGAACATTAGAAAAGAACACTTGAAACCATCAGCCAGAAACCATCTACAAGTCTCCCGCCTCGACCCTCTCTTAATTTGGCATGTTTCTATCCCACGTGGTGTTGTTGGATGTAGGTGATCAGTAAAATCAGTAAAGTAAAGTGTGGACCCACCTAATTAATCCTAATTAATTATTCATGATACCCTCTGGTGAACTAACATAGCAATGGAAAATGGCCATTTATAGTGGATTTTCCCATGAAAAATGGTGATTTTCCATTGCTATGTTAGTTCACCAGAGGGTACATGGGCAGAATATGTGGGAGGCGCGAGTATCGCAAGTCACATAAGTCAATCCATGGATAGCAGATTTACATGCAGACCAGCCGCCCACAGCTTCAGCTGTCCGTCCCCTGGGTTCCGGGCGACAAAGCAGCTGGCCGCTCCTTCCAAGACTTGGGGAAAAACCTACCCTCTGGTAATGACTAACATAGCTATTGAAAATGGTCATTTATAGTGGATTTACCCACTAAAATGGTGATTTTCCATAGCTATGTTAGTTTACCAGAGGGTACAGGAAACCACCTTTCCTGAGCCAATTCTGGAAACCAACTTCAAGAGGATCAACCTGTGGTTGGGTCCGACTTGTGAGCCTCAACAGCAAAGAAGGCGGTGCAGGCCCGCCTTTAGCTGAGCTTGGAGTTGCCTTGTTCTCACCTTGGGGATCTCTTCCGGCTTGGACCCAGAAGGACTTACCCTCTGGTAATTCAGAGATGACATAGAGAAATGGCTCATCTCTAGATGATTTACTGATTTACCGATGAAGTATTGGTAAATATTGGTAATAATCCATGGCTATGCAATCACATCAAACATATCAAAATGAACGGTGAGGATCCAACATGGGGCAGTAGCACATTGACCCACCGGGATGGCTGTCGTTGATCCGATTGTATATCCTAGTCCTAGTTGATTGTGTTTCCCCCTCATTTTTACAGGGACTATGAACTAGAACTATAACTGTACCTATTAAATCTATTAATTATTAGATATTCGTAAAATAACAGAAAGAAGCTAAATTAAACATCGAAAAATAGTCCCTTCCTATTCTTCACCACTCTCTATTTTTGTTTCGACAAATCCCCCATTGCCCCATTGGTGAACCACCCCTCACTGAGCGCCGGAACTAGTTCATCGCTAAGTGCATGCCGAAGCGACCTGAGAGGACTCACCACTGGAAACGAACAAATTGCTGGTGAAAAAACGATGGAATGAAAAAATATGTTGGGTTATACAATAGCTCATAATAACACACAATAAACATCAATACACCAAGGAGTAGAGCCATTTTGAAAGTTGAATCTAAGGTTCCAATCTCTGAATTTCACCTATGATTCAGCACCTGTCAGGTGAGTGAAGCACTATCCAATCGAAAGGTCAAGTTCAAAACCAAAACTTTCTGGATAAAGGCCTCTAGATTGGGGGAATATTACATAGCCACCATCTGGTAGAATCACCAAATGCATCCAAATGCTATGAATGGCAAACGTCATCCCGATAGTCAAACGGATTCAAATGGTGTCAGATGGTGGAAGGCAGGTCAGGGCTAAATTATGCACTTGCCCAGGGGTGATCCACAAAAAACAAAAAAAAAAACAGAAAAAATGGCGAGCCTGACCTGTGGTGATCCACAAAAAAACAAAAAAATGGCGAGCCTGACCTGTGGACCCTAACCAGGCTGTACTACCGTGCCCCCAAAAACACCTGGTTTCCCTTCTGAGGTCAGCCTAAGTACATCAATCTCAGAGCCCCATTTTTTCTCGATCTGCTGTAGTTGGCCCACAAGGAGCCAAAATGTTGCCATCTGAGCGTGGCAAACACCCCAACGGAATCGCCCATGGAAAACCACGATGTTTTCGCCGTTTCATTTGATTTGCAAACCAGGAGTTAAGTTGGTCAACAATTGCCGAGTTTTAATTGCCCACAATGATCAGCCCATGTAGAAACTAATGGTGAATCTGCTGGTAACGCAGCGAAACAACTTTTAGGGTGAATGGCCACAGCTCATCTGGATATCTTAAACATAAATAAACAACGACATGCCCTAAATCTGCAAATTTCTGAGTGCAATGCATTGAAACACTCAATCCTACGGCAATGATCCATCCATCGGATCATCGGCATCCAAAACTTCTTCGTTCCAATCAGGCCATCGACAATTCCATCACCTACGAGCCACTTTCGGACGGTGATGCAGCTGCCCGATATTGGGAAGACCAAAAAATACTACAGTCAGTATAGCAACTATGATTAACTATGACTATGACTGTATAGTCAATTGGTGATCATTCCACATATGTCCAAATATGATGAACATGATGAAAACGAAGACTAGAATTGACACCAGTACCAAGAAGTGATTTGGATGGAGTCGTGCTAAAAAACCGGACGCTGGCAATTCCGAATGGTTTGTCTCCGCCTGATTTGACTTATATAACTCCGCAAGAAAAACCTGGGGCATCCCTGAAATTACCCCAGTTGCTTGAGGAAGAACTTGGTCATCATGTTTTGTATGTAAATTGATCCCTTTTGGTGGGTTGTTATATATATATATATATATATCTATCTTGCTGTATAAAAAGACCCATAGCCATGATCAAATATGATCAATGGATTGGTATGGACAGGTATTGCTTGGCCAATCTTGGATTTTTGCTCCATTCAAGTGACTAAAGTAGCCATCCAAGACCGCGCCTATGAGTCGGGCCATTCGGGCGGAGGATTGCCAGCTGGCTTCTCAGGTCTTCGCCTTCGTGGGGGAAAAAAAAACCGGAACCCTGGAAGATCCCATGAAATTCTTGGTAAAAACCATGGAAAAATCATGGAAATTCCCATCATGAATCCATTTTTGTCAGTGAATTCTCCCCCATATCCCATGGTTTAGAGTCAGAGTCTGGTATCCCAAAGAACCATGGTGACTTTGGACTATTTTTTGGATATGTTAGGCGATTTGGGGGGGTCTCCATCATTAGGGCAAACCATGGCAGACATGTTTTGCTCTTGGAGGTCTGTCAGCTGTCAGCTGTCTGAAATGGTCAGTCGAAGATGTCATCTCCCCCAACAAATATATAATACACCCGGTCAAGTTTGGACCTCTTGACTGGCCCGTGGATGTTTCGCCAGATTTGTGCTATCGTACCTTTCGGGGGCAAAATTCGAGTGGTCTGGCGCTCAACCCTACACTTGCCACCATTTTGCACAGAGCCCACGAACCCCCCAAGCGGTCCAGTAAGCTAAATCATTCATGTGGCAAACCCAACAATGAACCATCCCCAAAATCACCATTTTTATATATTTCTATGGGTGCTATGTTTACCATCCTAAAATGGTAGTTGATGGTACAAGTGGAAGGGTTAAGTCATAGCATTTCGTTTTAAGTCATTGCAGGGGGCTTGTTTTCGCATGGAAACGCTGCGAACGTTTTAAGTCATAGCAGCTCCGTTTAAGTCATAGCATTTTTATGGTTTCACCATGGAAACGCGTACGGAATGCAATGGGTTTTAGTATCCTTGTTGTTCTGTTTAGCATGGCCTGACGGTGAAAGGTATATGTCCAGGGCATGTTTTGCACATATGTTTTGTGTACAAGTTACAATGGAAACGCGCGTTAACGATGGATATGTTGGGTACAGTTCATAAGTGAAAACCCAATGTCACAGACATGATTTGAAGATGTCTAGGAACGGCAATTGCGATGCCAAACACCATGGAAACGCGAGCGCAGGAACCATGGTCAGATTAAAGTTGGTTTTCGCAGCTAGGATGTGTTTACAAGCAGTTTTAGATCTGTTTTGCATGTCAAGTAGCTGTATCTCCTGAACACTTTACCATGCAAACGCAATGAAAGGATGCACTGAAGCAGTACTGTAATCACATTTCACTGCCGCATGCTCGGATGATAGTAATCAACAAAACATAGTAAAAAAAGACCAAACGAAGGCTGGTCACGAACGAGGTCAGAACGAGGTCCGAACGAGGTACCAAACGAGGTCAAAAACTACCCGGGACAGACCCTTACCCATGAAATGATACCATGAAATATATCAGTTTACATAGTGTATACTACCCTTTCATGTTTGAATCCTGGCCAATGCTGATAGACAAAGAACCTCGAAAAAAAAGAGCACCGCATGGCACACACTCATCCAAGAGCAAAGACAACATACATGACTAACCCAAAATGTTTAAACGTGATACACCAGAATATATCACTTTACATTATTTCATGCTATTCTATCATATTTGAACCTTACCAATCCTCACAAACATATATGTTGCGGAAAAAAAAAAAGCAACGCATGGCAGACACACATCTAAGCATAGAAACAACATACATAGCTTATCCAATATGTTATACTATGATGCTCCCCAATATGCCTTTCCGCAAGGCAGACGCTCATCCGCAACGACTTAACACACGATGCAAGGACTTAACCCTAGTACCTAGTAGTTGCTTCCAACATTAGTCCCCAACCATTGCCAACCGACAGGCGTCCGTATGGTGCCCAACATGCCCAGATCGCGAACAAAGCACGGTGGCGCGAGTTCCTCCGGCATGCTTTGAGGTGCCTGGGACATCAATCTCAGCCACCTCAAGTTTAAATCTAGATCTGTTATATTGCCTTCAATTGACACATATCATGCAAATGAATGCAAATGATATTATATGATATAATTTTATACAATTCTATATGTGTCCATGATTATTATATTGTCCATTGCATTCCAGTGCATTTCATTGCCATGGTGGCTGCAGTGCAGCAAAGCTAAATTCTCAGAATAGATCCTGGCAGCTCACAAAGCTTGAGAGCGAGTACCTTGCACACTTTGCCCTTGAAATGTTTCCTCTTATCCTCTTGCTTCCTGTCACTGGGAGTGAGACGCAAACGTAACGCAAAATATGGCACGAATTAGAGAGGTGGCTGTGGGTCAAGACTGTTTGGTTTCCACAGCACGATCGCTGGAAAATGGATGTTCATGATGCCCATGAGCTCATCTTGCAGACAGAAAATCAAGCGTTTTGAGTCTTGACCCATCCCCACATTGCCTAGGCTTAGATTCTAGCTTAGATCATGATAGCCCGGTGTCCGGTCTTGAAGACAGCAATCCATCTCCAGATGGCCATCAGCGTCACAGCTTTCGCCACTGACACGGGTTCTTTCGGAGGATCCGAGTCAAAACGCAGGTCTTCATGATGTGCTCCGGCAGGAATCAAATGCTGCGAAATGTCCAAGCCCTCCTTGAATTTGCTGAAGGGACCCTAGAAAACAGAAAACTTAAACATATCCCCAGTGGATTTGCCAAATGATGGATTTACAATGGGGAAAGTATCATAAATGTTCAGCAAATCCAAGCCTCCAACAAGGACTCAAATTTGGGCGCTCCAACGCGCCATGGATCCTTCTCACCATTGGTGAAAAGCAGGTTCCCCACCTGCAGGTCGCTACCCCCAAAGTTCACCTTGAGCCAAGTAGTTCGTGGGGTCAACCCATAGCGCAACTGGCAAGTGTTTGCCACCTCTACAAGCTGATCATCAGAGGCTGGGTAGAAGGCCATGCCGTCACTAGTCAAAGACTGCATGGGCATCTCGTTACAGGCCTGGTATTGCCAGTGTCCCATGTCAGGCGCCTTTACTGGACCTGACAGGTGGCCATCAGTGGGGCGGCCCACCACCTCAGCCATGAGGTCATAGCAGTGATATCCACTGGTGGAGTTCAGGAAGAGGTCCATGATCTGCCGCAAGCCACTGATGCCAGGGTTCTGATGCAAGCGCTGGCAGGCCACCTTCACCGGGTTGGCCGGCAGGGGCGTCACGAAGTTGGTGGCCACCGGGTAATCCAACATGGCAAGGGTGGCAACCACACCGCGGATAAAGAAGTCGGCCTTGGCGCCAGCAGATGTTTCATTGTGCAACTCCTGGCAAGATCCCAAGGCTTGGGCCACCTCTTTTCGCCCCTGCTCTGTTTCTGCTTTCTGCTTCAACTGGCTCATGGCCTCTGTCAACTCCTGGGGGCAGCTCTGCAGGCCATACTTCCCAAAGGTGTGCAGCGTGGCGTTCCAAAAGGCCTCTTGGCGCCCATCCTGGGGGTAGAAGTCGATGGGAGCCGAGGAGGCAATTCCCCCAGCTGCCAGGTGGGGGTACTTCTGGCGGAACCACGCCACCAGCATCCCACCATAGCTGCCGCCCAGGACGATGATGGGACACTCCCGTTGTTGGCACCCCAGATGAGCCCGCAGCCCCGACAGGAACCAGGCGGTATCCGCCAGGGCCTGTTCCACCGTCAAGGTGCGTTTGGGAACCACGGACTTGCCGTAGCTACGATGCTCCAGGAAGACCACTAAGGCGTCCAGAACTTGGGCGTGCTCAAAGACTGCCCCTGAGGCATTGTAGAAGGTCTCAACTGAGCCTTCACCACCAAAGAAGAACAAGATGGGATTGCCGGGCTTCCACCATTGGTCGAAAGTCATGGTCCTCTGCTCAAACGTGGCATTGTTCGTGAAGTCAAAGTTGTCCACGAAGCTGGTGACATTCCCAAACTTTGGCGGAAACCTTTGCAAGGCTCCGCCCTGTGGATCTAATGCCAAACTGCACTGCAGAAGCCAGCTTCCAATCAAAAGGTGCAAAGCAGCCAGTGTCAACCTCATCTCCATGAAAGCAAGGTTGGCCTACCTAAGTTGTCAGTGGCTAGATGTTCCTGAACTCAAGCCAAAAAGCGCACCCACAAAATTCAACAAAACTCATTTGTGTCAGGATTCATGTCATAAAGCGCATTGCTGTCAAACTTTTCCCGGCACTTCATGACCAAATGCTAGAGTCCTAGCTGCTAGAGTCTCATCTCGTTTTCCCTGAAATTCATATCCCTGCGCCCCTGCCTCCACATCAACGGCATCTGCCACTTGACCAGCCTGCCAGCACCCAGCTCACCCACATCGAATCAAGTTGATCGGCCCTGATTGTCCCTGGCACCTGGTAGCGTGCTTCCAATTCTGCCTTTGTGCCAACCACTTTAAGCCCCAAGGCTTTCAGCCTGGTCGCAGAAAACGTTCAACAAAACCCCCGACGCAAATCACACACAATCAAACATCATCAGCGGAAGAGAGGAAACGTGCGCATATATCATATTATAATATTACATATGCATGTACACATGTAAAATATGTAAGCAAACAAATAAATATACATATATATATATATAAATAAATTTAATAAATAAACAAATAAATAAATAAATAAATACAATTACACACACACATATGTATATATATATATATATGTGATATATGTTAAATGCACGCTATATAGACCCTCAAGATGCAGAATAAACGCCTTGGGACGATCGCAGAACCCAGAATTTGGGTTCTAGTATGAAGTCTTGTCAAGATTCCCAGGTGTTTGAGCACGTTGATTTTTGAGCAAAATAGAACCCGCTGGTTTCAGAATAATTAGGGTTCTGAAATTGTTTCTCACCGCCTTACATTTTGGATCGTTTTGGTATATTAAAATCCTCCTGCTGCAGATTCAAAAAATGAGGAGAAAAAAAACGGAGATTTCTGGAAACCGGAAAACCAGGCAACCCAATTTTCACTTTTTTTTTGCGCGCTCGTCGCCAATGGTCTACTCCGCGAATCTTGTTGACTCACTCTTTTGGGCCATCTGCTCAGACAATTGCGAGCAGCCGCCGCCCCGCAGACAAGCAACCGAAAAATTTGATGAAATTTGGCTAGCAGAACCCCTAGCAATGAATCATACTGGGTGGCAGCTTCAGGATTGCCACAAAAACTTTTCGGATGCGTGGTTGCTTTTCCAGAAGTGCTCGGCTGCGGGGCGGCGGCTGCTCGCAATTGTCTGAGCAGATGGCCCAAAAGAGCGAATCAACAAGATTCGCGGAGTAGAGTAGACCATTGGCGACGAGCGCGCAAAAAAAAAAAATGAAATTGGTTCGTATCAAGAACATAGAGATTTTATGGGTAGCTGCATTCCTAACAGTCCAGGGTTCTAAAATGATAGCTAAAATTGACAGAAAGTTCTACAATGGTTTTGGCACACCATTCTAGAACTTTTACATCCAGCCCTCAGGGCTGACCATTCTAGACCCTTTGAACCTGAGGCCATCGGCATATTGATCATATTGTATAAATGTGCGTGTGTGTGTGTGTTATTATTAATTATTATTATTTGTAGCTAGTACATCCTGTTCCCATTTAGCATTCTGCTTCCCTTGCTGTGTATAAACTAAAGAAAAGTTTCATTCGGGAGCTGTTGGGGCCCATTTGAAGCCTCTAGGCCCGGCAGTGATCTACCTGGCCGATTCCCGAGATTGAACCCGCCTCTTTCTCAACTCCAGAACGGACAAGCCACCACGTTTGCCTGTCAGGTTCTCCGACGTAACCAGGGGCCACCCCAAGGGTAACTGGGGCCTGGAGGGAATAAGTGATTGATTTCTATAGCCAATTCAGCTAAAAGAAATAGGAGGTCCTACTTCACGTGCTGTCCAAAAATAGATAAAACATGATAAAAATTGATAAAACTCCAAAGTTAGTATTTTTTGTGAAACACCAATACCTTCAAGTTTAGCATAGTTCAACTGCCAGCTAGCAACTGTGGGCCCCTTTTTGCAACAACCGCTACACCTCGTGGTCGGGCGACTTTGGGTGGGGCGTCTTTCACTACCTGCCGAACACAGTGGAAGCTTTGATCCGGAACCATGTTGGCTCCCCCTATCCCAGGTGGATGCACGCCAAGGAATTTCCATGTTTGACCCTGCCTTGACATCAATACAGATCATACTCATATATACTCATACTGAGTAATTTCCATCTACTGCCCATTATCATTTCTGGACACTACGATAAGCATCAACGCATCTGCAGCAAACCTGTATATGAAAAAATGGCGACAATATCGGTTATATAAGTATTGACTGTTGTGGCCGCAAACATCGCAAAATGGGAAGCTTGCATTTAACCAATACATCAAACCAGCAAACTGTAATCATAAACAACCAAAAAAACATCAAATATAATCAGATTAGTTGTATGTATATATATATATATAATATATATATATGTGTGTGTGTGTACGATTATATACGTTATATATGTATATACAAATGGGCGGTTATCTCAGTTCTTGTTGGCATCTTCAAGGCACTCCAAAGTGCCTGATTCTTCCTGCCACGCGTCAGCGTCTTGGGTGCGGCGGCGGCGCCTCTCGCCTTTCGCGCCTTTTGGAGCCGAAGGTAGCCACAAAGCAGGTCGTGCACCAGATCTTTGGTGCTGTAGGTCACGAAACCTGCGACTGGATGACTGGATCCTCAAAATCGATTCCCCAGGACTAGCAACTGGGTTATAAACATGTTATTTTTCTGAGTATAACTGGGTATACCCAACGAGTTTCTTGGTGACTTGGTGACCTTCTCACCTAGGGACCGGGACCTCACTTTCGAATGACCCGATGACATAGACATCCTCACAGGATCCCTGGATCTGGGACATGCATTTCGTCTCATGCAGGGCTGGGTCCTGGGTCCATGATGATTGGAGGAATGGGGCTATGTCCTCCAAAACCGCAAAATTGGGTCCCAACCAGTAGATGTTGAGGAAAGGCAAAAAAAGAAGATGTGAGCAGCGTTGAAAACCCTGTGTAATTCCATGGTACTTGTTGGTTAATCGATAAAGGGATTCCCATCTCATGGATGATGATAATCCCCAAAATATTGGATAGGATAGCCCCCTAAAAACTCTCCAACATGCATCAACCATAATATATATATATATATATATATATTCATCTATCAGTTATATCAGGTATATCCCATTAAAAATCCCCCATTTGTGTATGATGATTTTCCATCCTAATCAACCCACCAAAACAGGCCTTTGGGGCCCTGGTACTTAATCTTTCCAATCGCTTGCTCCACTTCAAGGCCCTTCACCTAACAAAACTCAGGGTTTCGGGTTTCGCGGATTCGGGTCTCACAGGTCAGATCGATGTTGGTAACATCTATATATATATATATATTATAAATTATTGTAATATATATATATATATGTGTGTGGTATAACGATGCATAACATGTCTTCCACATATTCTGCTGTTTCATGGGGGAACTGGAAGCAAAAAATGGAACTGTACTTGGCACCTCGTGGGGGTCATATGGGAGGTCTGAAAAAAAATTAGAGGATGGCACGATGGTATTGCTCCAGTTATGTCTGAAATATCCCTACTGAAAATATGGGTCTGAATAGGCCTTAATGATATTATAGGTTTTCTATGAGTTTGCCTTGGTTTTCATCCACTTGCTAACTTGGATGCGCATCCAAGCATGTTGCGAAGGGTGCGGATACTTGGATACCAACAGGCTGGCTCGAGCCAACCCTTTGCTGGAAAGACGGCATCTGCGAAATGAAGGAAAAACTTGCTGTTTCAAGCGGTTGGCACTTTGAACCCATCATAATTTGTCCGTTGGCATCATTCTCCCAGGTAAGATGAAAGAAATCTTCAGATCAACCAATATACACCAATATGATATCACGGTGGATCTTAGATACCTTCCAAAAATCTATTTCTTAGCTGGTTCGTAGATTTTATCATTGATAGCAAAAAAATAAAGTACTATATAAATTAAAGATGCCAAAACCCGCAGAAATCTTCGGGTTTGAAAAATGCCGGAGCTTTTCTGACACAACCCGGGGTATTTTAACCCATTCTGAAAGTACGGGTTAGGTACGGTTTAGGTATACGGGTTAGGTACGGGTTAGTAGGGGTTAAGTACGGGTCAGGTGCGGGTTAGATGCGGGTTAAGTACGGGTTCAAAATCAATACCCGAGGTGTTCAATCGAAAACCGAGATTTTCTGATTTTTTTCGAAATACCTCAGGGTTCTTGCGTTGACCCGAAGAATTCTTAGGGTTTTAGTTCTCCAGGTATATATATATATATATAAAATATCATAAAGTATCCAACAAAGGTTGACCCAGATATACTCAACTTACAGCCGCACCTTAGCCATCCTGGCATTGATGCCACTGCACTTTGCCACCTTCCCAGTGGGAACCATGATGCCCTTAGGCTCGCTGGTCGTAGACGGCATCGCTGCCGCCGAAGGCTTCGCTGGCTTAGCCTTCGGCGCCGAGCGTCCGGTCCTTCCAGGAGCTTTGAGGGTCACGTAGTTGCGCCTCAGCCAAACAATGCCCATGAAGTGATGAAAAAAAGTGGAAATGCACTCATCTTTCCTCTGGATTTTCCCTCAAACCAACTCCATGAAGCTAAAATGAAGTGCAACCTTATCAGCAAAAAACAGGTGTTGCTTGACTGGCTTGAGCACAAAACGGGGTACTATGTACTTTGCGAATCTCCTCACCGTACACTCATTGAGAGTGAGTCTTGGCTCAACAGCTACTCATTTCACCGAACAAAAAAAATGCGAGCAGTGCCAGCAGAAACTGGATTGCTAAATGGGGTCCCCCAACGAAGGGATTCCATAGCATTCCTGCAGCTGGTTTTGTTTTGTTTTCAAAGATCGCTTGCATTGGAATCATTGGACCTTTGCATGGCCAGCCCCAACAGATGATACTGGTACCATCTGATACCCCTACCCTGCGTACAGTGTTCATGATCAAGTCAGACCTGACCAGGCCAAGTCGAGCTGCAGTATGTCGTAATTGAGGTCCATCAAGCTGTAGGTGATGAAAACATCAGGGCACTTCGCAGGATGTTTGTAGCTCATCTTACCCACCACCTCCTCCACGGGATGCCCTTGGCACTTGCGCATGCGGTTGCGGATCCCTTCACACTTTGCCGTCTTCCCTGTGGTGATCATCAGCCAGGCGCCAGGGCATGGCAGGTCGCCCTTCAACTTGCCCTTGGAAGCCTTGGATGCCTTGGATGCCTTGGATGCCTTGGATGCCTTGGCCTTCGTTCCCTTCACCTTGGGCACCTTGGGCACCTTGGCCACCTGGGCCACCTGGGGCAACTTGGTCTTGGCTGGGGAGGTTGGTGTGGTGCTCGACAGCTTGAGGTAGCCGCGCAAGAGGTCGTAACGCAAGTCCAACAAGCTGTATCCTTGGATGAACGCAATGGGCCCCACACCCCAAAGAAAACGAAAGTGTTCGCAGCAAATTGCCCAGATGGTGCAATAACTGTTGCCTTTAGCGTGCAAAGAAAAACATCAACTCTCAGCCAAATCCAACTAGCCAAGCATCTCAACAGTCGGTCTGGAGACTTGTTTGGATGTGCATATTCCATCTTCCACAGCACCTCGCTGACTTTCTTCCCACGGCACTTTTTCATCCTTGGATTTGTTGACCGATCTCTCTCTCTCTCTCTTTCTCTCTCGCAAATTGGGTTGAAGGGAACCTTTGCAGTAAAACCTTGAAAGTGTGCAGGAAAACCATATGAGTACCATCTACATGTTTAAAGAAAGGTGGAAGTTCCTGTAGCGTTTCCATTGGAAGTGATGTCATAGATAATATATTTACTCATCATTTCCAGATGTCCAACTTTTTCCATACCTTTTCCACTCTCCTATCTTTTACAATAATTAATGAAGCAATAGTAAACCATCCCCTTCTTTACCATTTTTATGGGTGGTGTACCCCATCAAACTATGGGTGGTATGCATTGCTTCACTAACCTTATTCTTCGACTCCGAGCGTCCGGTTGTTAACCCCGGGGCACTTGGACTGTTTCACCTTCTCTGTGGGCATCATCACAGCGTTCAGCGAACATGGCAGCACACCTTTCCGAGCAGCGACGCCTTTCACACCTGGTGACTGGTTCTTTTGCGTCGAAAAATTCATGATCTTCCTGATTTTAGCTATGGAAAATCCTCATTGTTATTGTCAACCCTGGATTAATAAACCCCAAACAGCTGTTTAATTGGGAGGGTACCATTTAAGTATCAAATAATGACTATTGGAGGAGTACCCACCCAATTAATAAACCATGGTTTATTAATTCGGGGTTGACATTAGTAGGTAAATCCGCATTTTAATATATTTAATCATCTATCAATGGACCATGTTCAATAGCTGTTAAACTAACAAAAGGATGCAATCGGATATAATCTTGGTAAATCCAAATGGTACATCCGCAATGAGTGGTTGAGCCACTGAGCTAAACCAGAAAAATCATCCCATTCTCCTTGGGATGTCTTTAAAACACATCTGAGTATGGGTGAAAACTGGATATCCCCATAATTGGATGGTTAATAGTGGTCCCCAAATGTCCCCAAGGTCTTTCAAGGAGGCACCTTTTTTCTTTACCGCTCTCGTCCTCGAGCTCTGTCGCACCACTTTCGCCATCACGCCGCCAAGCGGAACTTGAGCCCGGGGGTTCAAGTGGGCTGAGCGATCCAATCCGACATCTTTGATTCCACAGGAGAATAATGTACAGTAAAAGAATGGTAATGACAATGCCATAAACCTCCAAGTGGGGGAAGTTCGTGCCGCACAAATATATACACATGTACATGTGTATATATATGTGTGTGTGTGTGCGTGTGTGAATTCAGAGTATGCATAATTATATATATATATAATATATAATTACATATATATGATGATATATGATGTGTGCGTGTGTGGATGTACACCACCCCTATTTCCTGAGAATTTGAGAATGGTTTCCAGCCTTACCAACATACAGCAAAGAAAACTAGATCTGAGCCATTGGCTTCTGTAGGCTCTCGGCCTAAGCAACGTCGCCCCGGTGGAATCATGGAGGGGTTGAAAACGACCATTTTTTCTGACCTCCTCGAAGCGTCTGCGCACAGATTCCAGAACTCCGGCATAGGCTTTGTCCTGGTGGAACATGGAGGAACAGTTTCGAACTCTAGGCGGTGAGGTTTTTGAATTTGCAAACAAAAATTACACAGGGAATATCAGGAAACCATGCTGCTGGCACTGCGGTGGCTATCCCAATAAGTTAGGATGATATTCTGGGATTTGCTTGACATGACGAAACAAAAAAGTGTTCCAAATTGCTGGATAACCTATTGGAAAACATAAAATACCAATAAAATATCAATAATATCAATAAAAATACCAATTAAAATCATCAACTGCCCAAGTTGCCACCCTCCCCGGCAGCTGGCACAGTCCGGAAGTTGATTCGCAACCGCTCGTCCCTCACATCGCCAAGGGGGTGCCCGGGTAGCCATCAAGGGTGGAGACGTGCAGGCTGTAGAAACGTGTGTTTTTTTTTGGTCGTCATAATTGATCCTGAAACATGAGTCAGTAGTCAACATGGATTCCAGTTTTCACTGTCACTGATCTTCACGATCTGTCTATACATTTGCCCCGAAAATTGTCCCCATGGTAAGTTTCCTGAAAATGTCCAAGACCCGAAAAATCGAAAAATCACAACCCGGATTGATGAACCCTGGTGGAGTACAGTAATTCGGGGGGTTGCTCCCCAAAAGTGATGATGTGCTACTTAAATTGACTTATATAAATTGCATATACCCTGAAATTCAACTGCCTGCCACTGTGGGGTTGGTTATTAGTCCAGGGTCGACATTACCCAGTAAACTAAGATAGTGACTGGATGAAAATTGCCTATTTATGGGCGATTTACATTTAAAATATTTTAAAATCATGTATATATTATATACTGTAATCCATAGCTAGGTGAACAATTACCAAACGGTAAACGTTATTATGATACCCCATAAATTCACATAATATCATACATTCATCATCATCGTATCCTCACTGTATCCCTATAAAGCCTCCTGTTCCGCAGCTGTTCGCACTTTATATAATGATCGATATCATATGGTATTTGGGACATACTGATGTATGAAAATTTCTATTTTATGACCTACCCTCTGGTTATATTTAACATAGCCATGGAAAATGGCCCATAGAAATAGATGGTTTACCTATTAAAAATGGTGATTGTCCATGGCTATGTTAGTCATAACCAAATGGTATGACCGTGTACCCTCTGGTAATTTCACATAGCTATTGAAAATGGCCATAGAAATAGTGGATTTTCCCATTGAAAATGGTGATTTTCAATAGCTATGTTAGTTTACCAGAGGGTATGAAGAAATTTCTGGATCATATTGGAGTCCATCCTAAACCTTGGATGACACCTGCACTGAGCTATGGACGCGGTCGCCGAAGTTCAGCAACACATCTTGCATGGCTTCCTGTTGCATTCGTTGGGTGCTCCCGTGACAACCAACGGTAGGTGACAACAAATACCAGTCAATCATATACCAAACCGGCCCCTCTCCTAACAGAACCATATTGGTTGTTCTCACGTCTCATCTCGTCCCTTCGAATTGTAATATGGAGCTAGTCTAGCTGATGGTTTCACAGCTTCAACCCAGAAAAAACATTAGTTGGATTATCCCAAAATTCGCTTGGAAAAAAAATGCATGTGCAACCACCAGCATATCGTTCTTCAACAACCCCCAACATGCACTGAATGTAGTTAGTACATGCTAGTACGATCTGTCTTAATCTCCAATCTGTACAGTAGAGACACCAAATGGGAGAGCAAATTCTGCTGTCGCCCACTGCCATGCTCGCGGGGGGGGGCAACATGTGATCTCTCTGGCGACAAACAGAAACATCAAAACCAGATGTTCACAACCATTTTCTCGTTGTGGCGAATCAACCCCGGAACGGTGTTCAACCATCGATGGAAACATCAGCAAAACATAATGGATATCTGCTGCCCGGTTGACTATCATCAAAGGGTGGGCTGTAGATATCATTTCTTCTTTCCGCTCTGGATCTGGAGAAGTACATCAACCATTCAATGGAATTGTTGTTTTGCCCATCAAAAGATGATAGAATCAGGAAAGCAAGACAAAATATACCGTCGTAAAACAAAACAACGAAAACAAAAAGAGGAATATTGCATCATTGAAACCAAGCATTGGCATGTTTGGGTTCAAGCATTGGCATATGTTAACTACTAACGGCAAAAAGGTGGAAATATGTGGAAATGGTTCGATTTACCATCATGTTAGGATTCAACTTCACTAAAATGTGTCATTTGAAACCTGTGGGGGGTGTATAGATCATACGATGACCAATCAATCTAAGATCCCCTTGGATAGCAAATGCTCAAAGTATTGGCTCATAATTTACAGCAACCAAAAAGATAGAAAAGCAAAATCCATCAAAATCCTATGAAAATAGTGGTACATCATGGTACATCACTCATGACGTCTATCTTTTCAGGGCTTACCTGTTTTACTTCTTATGGCCATCGGTCACGTCTCCGAATCTCCGTTAAGTGACACGGCCAGAAACCGAGCCACGGCCGCCGCCAGGCGCCGTTTCACCTGGAAGGAGACTGGCCAATGCACAAAGCACTAGTGGATCAGTCAAGAAAGACAAGGTGATGATGTTCATGACATGAAGAAAGGCTTCAAAACAAGCTGCCCCATATGAAATCAGCACGTATAATTTTGGCGTGCTTACTTGTGTCCAACCTTTTCATGCTTGAGATTCCCCAGGGCGCTGGGACAAGAACTGATACTGTTTTTCTACTGTATTAAACTCTAAGAAAACTCAGGTTCAATAACCCTGCCACACCAGCAAGATCCAACAAGCATACACGCTTGCTATGCTGCTATCCAGCTGTTTTTCTGCGCCAATGCGCGAGGGCGGCCCGAAACGTGTCGAGAGTGTCGCCAATTTTCGACTAGCAGTCGATTCTATCCAAATAGCTACGCATCTGCTACGCATCTGCTACGCATCTGCAGCCATTCCTGCCAATGAAATGGCTAACAGCTATTGCCGCAAAAACGTGCACTGCTTGTGTGCCACCACAATGTGGCAAAGGAGGCTCGCGGATCGATTTTTCACCTGCACTTAGAGAAAATCCGGAGAGTTGTTTACTGGTGCCCATGAATGCTGCACAATGCTTCGCATCTAGATGCATCTAGGGATTAAATTGCGCGCCAATCATCCTCGCCTCCAAATTTGTGTGTCAGCACATGTCAGCTCCTGCACGAATTACGATGGAAAGATCCGAAACCAAAAGGTGGCCAATTGTGATGAGGTTCTCGTCGGCCCAAAAGTATCAAAAGTGTGCGCTGCCGCAATGCCAAAATGAAGCATATAGAGGACCCCCTTTGTTTAAAGATGCTTAAAGTAACCTACCTCCCTTCACTTCAGCGAGGGAGCAGTTGAAGCATCCGCAGCTAGGATTTGCAGAGATGAACATCTCACAAGTCATGGCCAGCCGGATTTTTTTTTGTCCAATCATCAGCTGATAATTCCCCTATAGGGTGCATTAAAACAAAAGATTTCCCGGCGCACGTCTCCCCATAAAAACCCATCAAAACTGCGATGTTCTGGTGAACCCCTAAAAGCTTTGCTGCTTTTTTTGGCCCTCTGCCGGACAAAATCCACAAGGATACCGATCAATTTCCCATATATGTTGCTTTAACATGCGAAATTGCTCAATGTCCTCTATGATGTTAAATCCCTATTTGTGCTGGTTCACCACTTCACCCCAGTTCCTACTGGTTACTTCATGTTACTTCTACACCCTGCACTTCGCATCTGTGAGCCTCTGAAGACCTCCCTTGGCCTGCAAAACCACGTGCGACGGCTTCGCCGTGCCGCACGTCTAAAATTCCTGGCGCAACTGTTCTGATCCTGGCGCCGCACTGGAGCTTGGCCACCGGCAAAAAGAATCCGGAGCCTGTGGCAAAAATAGTCTCAGAAACGGAAAGTCCACCTCTATAAGATATAAACATATTATATAACATACATGTTTATTTCATGATCTCCTTTTCGGTTCCTTCTCAAGTGGTGTTGTTCTGATTTTTCACACTCTCCAAACGAGCGCCGGACCGTGGCCAGGAAAAGGTGCAAAAACAGAACAACTTTCGGCGGCGCGGCCCGCTTCAAAAAAAACACTCCCATGGTTGGGATGATAGCGTTCAGATTCAAGAGGTTGGTCCATATGTCATAGTGTATATGCGCAGTCATATGTTTAGCACATGCTCATGGTTGCATAGGTGTCCTCAAGTGATGCATCTATCTATCAATTTATCTATCTATCTATATACATGTGTGTAAACTAAATGCATTACTACTATATCATAGTCGTCATATATATATGTGTGTGTGTGTGGATATCTACGGATATCAATGATCAATATCTATATCAATGATCAACACTCCAAGTGGCCTGAAGCGTGTAGTTAATTCAATTGCAAATATAGTAACTCGGCTTTTACAGTACCCAGATCTACGTGCAGTTGGAGGGATTGCAATCCCATCTAGATACATTTATTACATTTGGAACTCACACAACAAGATCAACTATGGAGGCCTAAA